TATCTGCCTTCTCCGCGAACTTGAAGTGGTACCAGCAGTATCGCTGGCCATTTCCGCTGGGCCTGCCAGTCCGTGAACGGCTCCTTGATCGGTTACGACGACGAGACCTCGACCTTGGCCCATCCTTATGACCCCGGGAAGTAGACATCGCGTCAAGCCTCTGTGTCAATGCGTCAATTTTCGAATGCAACTCATCGATTGAAGATAGCGGCGGCTGTGAAGTTGATGCAGCAGCTACATGGGAAGTAGGTACATTTGGTGTAACTTCATGTACTTTATCCGCCATCTGTGCGACCGCATCCAAAGATAAATTATCTTGCATGGCTATAATGCTTTGCAATAAATTCGGCAACCGGGTCGTCCACAAATTACGTAAGAACTCATCAGGACATTCCGGTCCAGCCAAGCTGCGAATATGGCGCAAAAATTGGCTTGGCTTCCTATCTCCCAATTCCTCCTTAAAAATGAGCTGTTTCCAACGCTCCGCCCTTGTGCTGGATAAACGGGAAATGAGTTCAGCCTTCAATTTCTCATATTTTTCGGTAGACGGTGGTTTGATAATGATATCTTCAACTTTAGCGGCATATTTGGGTTCCAATACCGAAATTACATGATAGAATTTCGTAGCGTGTGTCGAACATTCGCGAGAGCAAATTGTCCCTCGAGCTGCGCGAACCATAAGGTTGGCTTATCTGGCCAAAAGGGTGGTATTTTGACACCAACGCGGCAAATTGATGGTTCACCTTCCGACATTTCGTCGATGTTATATTTTCCGTTACGCGAATTCGTTAAAACTCGGGGTCACCACTTTATATATAGGGAACTTTGTATAAGACAGAAATGAAACACTGTTAATTTTGTATGTAAACAAAAGAAAGTACCGTTATTCAACGGCGCGAGCGCGACGTCTTAGCCTCGGGATCGGTCCAGTCACATTGATTGTTCAAAAAACCCGAGAGCGCAGGAATGTGCGTTCGGCTCGGCGGAAATAGCCGAAGGTGACGTCGCCGCCATTATCACTGCGCGCGCGCATCGTCAAGTAACGGCGTTACTTATTTATTTATTTAAAAGTAACAGCAATACATTTATTACAAATACTTAATTTTTTTTTTTTTTTAATTTATTCAATTTCAAAAACATTAACTATTTTATTACATTAACGCTAGGTAAAAACTTAATGGTTTAACCACCTAGCGATGAGCTAACAAGCTCGGTACTTAAATTAGCTTACTACTTACTAAAATACAAATAATATATTACGATTAAGAGAGCTAAATACAAATAAAATGAAAAATTACATTACGACCTAAGATAGTACTTCTTTAAAATAGCTTTGCATTTCCTGACATCACCCTCAATTGCATCTAGTACTGTGCCTGGAAGATCGTTTAAAGTTTTTGGCAGCATGTAGTCCGACCTGCGCATTCCATAAACGTTATTGTAACCCGGCAACGAAAATGTCGGCATATATGAAAGCGAGCGCAACTGTTCAGCGCGCATTCGCTTTCGCAGATTGTGCTTGCAGTTATCGTAATCTTGGCATACGCATAGCATTTTTGCTTTGTCAAATACATTTATAACCTTACAATAACCAAATAATTTTTCATAGTTATCCTTAAATTTTAATTTTACGTTGAAAGGAACAATTAATTTTAACAAGGATAACTGCAGTTTATAGATATTGTCCAAGAAGGTAGGATAAGTGCGCCCGTAGCTACATAAGCCATAGTTTATTATGGAGTCGGCAAGAGACATATAAATCATTCTCAGTGACTTATACGGGAGCTTGCATTTTAAAATATATAGTTTATTCGCAATAACTCTTAATTTGTTACAAACGTGATCTATGTGTGGTCTCCAGCTAAATTGTTTATCTATAATAAGTCCTAGATAAGTATGTCGATCGACCAACTGCAAGGTGCGACAAGAGCACACGTTGCTTGTTAAGTTATGTAAACATTGGTGACTGTGTGACACGATGGTAGGCGTTGATGATGGTTTTATGTACGGAGAATGTGCATGCAAAACTTTAGTTTTGTCTGAATTAATAACGAGCCCTACGTCATGAGCCCACTTGCAAATTTGATCATAGTTGTATTGGAGTATTTTTTGAGCCTCGTTAATCTCTTTGTGTGAGGAAATTATGCAAGTATCGTCCGCAAATTGATATACTGACCCGCCTGTAAAAATGTTACACATATCATTCACATAGATCAAATACTCAATTGGTCCTAAAATTGAACCTTGCGCTGTGCCCTCCTCAGTTACAGTTCTCTCGCTTACCGCCCCTGCTATGCTTACGCAAGTATGCCTGTTACTATGATAGTTCTGAAACCATTTAAGTAATGGACCTTGTATTCCATTTTGTTCTAGTTTAGAATATAGTATATTGTAGTTTAAAGTGTCAAATGCCTTGCTAAAATCAATAAAAACAATAAGCACATGCTGCCGGTCATTTAAGTATTCGTTGACCTCATTAGTAAATCGAGATAATAGCTGCGATGTACTTCGGTGTCTTTGGAAACCATATTGTTTATTGTTAATTATGTTGTGAGTACTCAAGTAGTCAGTTATTTCGTTTCCAATGTACCTCTCAATTATCTTATCAATGGAAGGTAGTATCGTGATAGGCCTGTAATTATTTAAATCCTTATGGGAACCTTTTTTGTATATGGGTCTTATCATGCCGATCTTTAAATCGTCGGGATACAATGACGTAGCAAAACAACTGTTAATTAAGTGTGTAATCAAAGGGGTAATGTCAGAAATTACATGTTTTAAGTGTGCTATTTGTATATTGTCAAATCCTGGACTTTTATTTACATTTAAGTGTTTAATGATGGAGAAGACGGTATCACAGCTCGCTTTTTTAATTCGCATTGTTAAATCAGAATTTCTACCATAACATTGTTTGTGAAGTAAAGGCCTGTCACAGTATGAGCATATACTTTTAACATTTTTTTTAAATTCATATGCAAATTTATTAACTAATACATTTGGTGTCATAGGTAAGTATTGTAGTATGATATCGTCTATAGACTTCATTATTTTGCCACAAAGTGTGTTTATAATGTCCCAAACTTTTTTTGGGTTACGGTAATGTTTACAAATTTCGTTTTTGATGTAATTGTTTTTGGTATTATTTATAAAACTGTTCGTTTTATTCCTATACTTAGTATACAACAATCTGTTAGCACTGTTACTTTCGTCTTTTTTCCAAATATTATGTAACTCATCCCTTTTTTTAATCATATCCGACATTCTATTGTTTTGCCATTTACAACTTTGTCTTTTACCCAATTTGATTTGTGCAAAAAACGTATTATTGTCATACACCTGTCTGAATTTGTTACTGATGAAACTTAGAATGTCATTCGGATTTGAATAATCAAAACCTTCACTCCAGTTTATCGATTTTAAATCCGAACAAACTTTGTTATTATCAATTCTTTGTACTGTCTTACACTGCGAATTATACATATTGTTGTTTGTTATTATGGCGCAGCCGGTTATGTAATGGTCGGCCAACGAATTTATAATAACAGCTGTCTTAATGGAACAGTTGACACTACGTACAAAAACATGATCAATACACGACTTTGTAATCAGAGTTCCCCTCTTTTCGACTCTGGTATATTGGTTTATGCCACATTCTAGTCCCACCTCGCACAGAGAATTTAGGTATGATGATTTAGCAACGGAGGGTGATTTTAAATCTATGTTAATGTCTCCTATTAAGATATAGTTACGGTTGAATGATTGTTGGCTTATTACCTTATTTAACTCCTGTACGAAGCGGGACCGGTCAGTGTCCGGTGGTCTATACACAGCACACAACATTAATTTTTGGTTAAAGTTATTTTCAATTAGGCCCGTAATGCACTCAAAATTATTTGTACGCACTGAATGTCTGGTAAATCGCATATTTTTATTTATGTAAATTATGATACCACCTCCTCTTCTGTGGCTCCTTAGTTCCGTGTGCATTTCATAGTGAGGCAGCTCAAATAGAGATTTACATGAGTCTGTAATATTGGCTTCGGAAATTACTATGACGTCAATTGGTCGTGGACTGTTAAGTACAATAAGTTCCAGTTGAGCGAAGTTTTTCAACATTGATCTGATGTTAACATGGAATACTAATATGGCACTGTTTAGTAGTGGAATCTGTCTCGCAAAAGTGTCCCAGTTAGTATAAGTTTCCTCTTGAATATTAGAGTGTAAGGCAGCCATTTATAAAAAATAAAGGTATACATTTAGACAAATTGATGATCCCTTGTTCAGTCTGTCTTAAACTGTGCTGATAGTCTAGCAATATCCTTTTCGGATCTCACTATGTACATCTTCTCTTTTTCCTCTCTACGTACCATTATTGTGCCCTTTTTACACCACACAAACTTACACAGGTCTTTAATTTTTAATTCCTGTTTGGTTTTCCAAAGCAGATAAGATGTAATGGGTGTTAGTGGTTCACGGATGTATATCTTATTATTCTCTGCCATACCTATATCAGTGCCTCTAATGTACATGTTTTTTGAGGCGTCAAACCACTGATCGCTGCATCCCTCCCGTAGGCTAACTGTAATAACGGATTGAGTATTTTTTGCGCTCGCTATTGTTTTGGATTTTTTTTTGCGGTATGCACTCATAACGTTTTCTGGGTTTAGTTGTAGCTTATTACAGATAGTATTTACAATAGCTTTCGTATTTTCATTTTCTTTTTCCTCCACACCACATATTTCAATGACATTAGCCAGTTTCGATTGTTCGAGATGATTAATTCTCTGTTCAAGCACTTCATTCTTTAGATCTAAGTTTTTACATTTGTTTTGTAAATCTGTGCATTGGTTTACGATACGTTTATTTGCAATCTCATAATCCGTAATTTTCTGTTCGTATTCATCTATTTTGTCCGAGTAGAATTGCAGGGTATTTTGCAATTCGTTGCGAATAATTTCTCGAACTTCGCGACGAATATCAGACAGTATTTGTTGAGTAACGGTGTTATGGGATATTTCCGTGACTATTTTATTGTCATCCTCCGTATCGGGCATGATGCAGGATATACGCTTTGACTGCGAATTCCCGGCACAGAAGCGGCATTTCCAGTCGACACAGTCCGTAGTGTACAATACATTCAGCTGTTCCGTGGATATTGACGCACAAGCACTATGTAACCATTTCAAGCACTTATTGCACTGTATACCAGGGCTCTTTTTGTTGATTAGCTTAGAACACTTATCGCATTTGACCATTGTTACTTATTGATGCGCACGCGCCGGCTGTCGTTTCGTCGCGGTAGGTAAAAACAATAACAGGGCACGTCCAACCGGTTTCGCACCGAGCGAGCAACTCCAATTATATAATAATAAGATAATTTCTCGCTAGATAGATCGGAGCATGTGATTTTATTTGTGTATTTTGATTATATTTTAAATAATGTAATCGCTACAAGTTTGTCCAGGGTAGTACTGCCACCTTACCTATTTCTACCGCCAAGCAGTAATGTCAGCATTACTGTGTTCCGGTTTCTAAGGGTAAGGGTGCTGGTGAAATTACAGGCACATGGGACTTGTCAATTTATGTCTCAGAGTGACGGGCGCTGCGGCAGTGCCCCTCAGATCTTTGCGATTTGAAGCTCTGATTGGCACTGTAACTGTTATGGATAGGTGTGTAGCTTACCACAGCGCTCACGACTTGTTCGTCCCGCGTCACTTGATTTTACTATAAAAATAAAAAATAATAAGAGGCAGCAGTATCCTTAAAAATCTGTACAATAAGCGCCATCTAGTTGTTTTGTTGGCAACCACTAGAAGTTAAGGGTAACTATGATAAAACGCAGCTCGTCAATGCAAAAGAAATTTGTTACAAGAATAGTTATTTGGTACTACGGACGGCCCTACGCAACTGGCCGGTGCGAGCAATATGTGTACAATTACGTAAATAGTTCAGGGGCTCTGATTGGCCGGGCGGAGTCCGCGGCGCATTGCTCGGGCCGGTACGATATGGGAGACGCCGTATCGGCATATACATAAGATAATCTTGTAAGATTCGTTGATTCACTTTCATTTTAATTCGATATTCCGATTCGATTTTTATTATTCAACTTGTAAGTCAGATGGACGTTGACATAATAAGGTGTTCAAATAAGTTTTTATGGAATTGTATACAGTCCACTTTCCTACGCTTCAATAAACCGGAAGATTACGAATTTATATGGGAATTTCAATGAAGAAGAAACCAACAAGTCTGGTCCGTTTGAGGCGGATTCAGCCGGGATCCAACAGTACTGGTCGCGATATCTGGTAAATTAATAGATACTTAATACCCGACTACGCTGTCTATATGTGTAGTCCCCTGGACTTATTACGATAAGTAACTGATTGATACCTTCAGGCCGCGAGGCGGAGGCCAAATCGGCGTCGAGCGGGTCGGGCGGCGCCCGTGAACGCAGAGACACCTCTCACTCCAGCGGCTCCGAGAGAAATCAGAACAGGCCCGTTCTCTTCCTATAACGGTAAGCAGCGCGACGTGCAATCTCTATACTCTAGCCAAATTCGATGTAGAATAAATGTCAACAAACAAAAACACATGATTTTTAGGGTTTTCATCTTAGACTGTTTCACAGTTACCACAATTTCAATATTTTCCCTCGAAATTCAACTAGATTATGGATAATACTAAATCTTGAAGTGTTGTTTATAATGAATATTATTCAACAGAAGTTTCAAATCACCTAAAATGAACTAAAAAATGACCAGTTATTAATTATATGTAAAATTGTGTCATCCTTAGTGACTTTTTGATTTGAAGGAAGAGATTGCAAACATTCGAGTTCTGGTGGTAATTCAAGTTTAGAATTGGAAACACCTAGATGCTGGATGACATAATATGTGGTAAATTGATATCAAATAAAATCTTACAATTTTGTTTCTTTTCATCTACCATTATCTAGCTATATGTATGTATATATGTACACATATTAATAGGATGCAAACACTTATTTTTTATTCTTAAATCATATGTATCAGTAGGTAATTTGTAAACTTTATAACAATTGGCTAGGTAAGTATTACTTCTACATAACCCAATTACCTACTTACCCATTTAAATTCCAATTAAGGAGCAGGCCGTGGGCAGCGCAAGCCTTAATAATGAGCATTGAAAAAAATGTTCTTTTCCTATGCCATCATTGGTTGCTTAGCAACGTTTTGTTATTAAACATTCTACATCGAATTTGGCTAGAGTATAGGTGCACTTTAAGCATCGAGTATATAACCAGAAATAGAGACGAAATGCATTTAATTTGTTTGAAAACTATACTGTCAAATGACTGCTGGTGACAACTGAACTCCGTTAGGCCAACCCGAATCCTTTGCTGTAATCATTGACTTACAAATAAATGGACGACGGGTCTAATACAAAAACCTCGAAAAAAATGTCCCAAGTCAACCTATTTATAAACGTAGTGACATGTAAAGTAATATGAAAAAGCTAAAACGTCGAATTTAAATTGTAATGTCATCGCAGTACTGTCTAATTTTGCTTGCTTCGCTGTCAGTCGAACAAACGAAGACTAAAGCGTGGATAACGCTCTGTATACGATTTTAACGCCTGATAAGTTCGGACACTTTTTAGCGCGGACCCGACGTCCACACAATTGTAAGTCAATGACTACAATGGACAAATATTGCAAAATTACTTATTTAATTACCGATGAAATGTGCTTCCGTTTGTTTTGTTATTAGATATTTTGCTGTTTTTCCCACACCACCGAATGGAACAACCCCCATTGTTAGACATATTTATTACAATAAATACAGAATATTTTTGGAATATACGGAGACGTACACACAGGTCAGTAGTTGGCGCTTTACTATTTCAGCTTTCTAATTTGTGTTTTCAGCGCAAACGAGAGTTGATATTTAAAAGTGGTATAAGGCCCATTTACCTGATGAGTTGCCAGGGCTGGATAGCCCTTATTTCTTACCACGGTATAACTTCTTTTTATTTTCCCGATATTTAGGTAAGAAACCTGTTACTAGTGATAATCATTTAGTGAATAACCACGAAAGTCTTAAAATCTATATAGCCCTTATTTCGTCTCTATTTCTGGTTATATACTCGATGGTCCTGGCCACAAGCCACATGTTTTCAACAACAAGCGTCCTTAGTGTAATAGAGTAAACTCAGTTCTCTTTTCTTATGGCTTAACTTCATGCCATATGACCATACCTTATAATAGGTATTTCTTCTTATGCAAGGCTGCAAAGTTGTTTGACGCGAGTAACCTAAGTAAGCGAAGGGGTCTAATATTAAACCACGAGGAAAGCGAGTGGTTCAAAATAGGATCCTGAGAGTAGCGAAGGTTTCAAGACACGAGACGCAAAACAACTTTGCTACCGAGGGAAACACACAATTTTTCACCTCAATAAAGCGAGGATAGTGGTAGATTAAAGAAGTTGAACTATGATAAAATAATTTAATAAACAAAATTAGTTATCGTTGTCAATTTAATGTCAACAAAAATAATAAAATGTACCAACGGATTTATATTACATAAATAATGTACCACAAATCGCGTAGTTGAACGTGTCATGTTTATTTATTTTCATCGAAAGAAAAAGTTAGGTGCACCACAGTCCATCGTCAATTTCGAAATTCAAAAACCTTTTCCGCGCATGTTTCTTATGACAAGAAAACCTTTCCGAGCTAGGGAGGTGAAAACTCTGAACTATCATCACGTCGCAAACCCACAGTCCCATTTAGCTTCTATTAACTCTGTTTAAGGCTTCTGTAGTTATTTTATATAATAATACACTGAATGTATTTTATTCAATTGTCCATTCAACTTCACAATTTATTTATCATATTGGGTTCCGACCACTGACCATAGAATCCCTAATGTCCAAAACGGCCATTTGATAAGCAATTCCGAAATGCAGATTTCTTATGGTAGAGACTTGCATTGTTTTATTCTTGAATAGTTTGAAATTTTAATTATTATCACTTTTATACATTATAAACGAGGGTGTTATAGCGTTCGATCCCATGAACTAAGCGTGTTTGTAGGATATGGCCCGTTGTGCCCTATACCGGCGAATACCCAACCAGTTATTCTGCGCATTTAAGATCACTGTATTGTTGTTTTGGTAGTCGTGAACCCATTTAAGATTCACTATATTGTTGTTCTCTTAGTCGTGAACCCATTTATGATTCACTATATTGTTGTTGTCTTAGTCGTGAACCCATTTAGGATTCAGTTCTCTTAGTTGTGAACCCATTTAAGATTCAGTATGTTGTTGTTTTGTTTTTATATAGTCTATTTACCTATTTTATTTAATCATTTATTGCACAGGAAAATCACTTTTAATAAAACGGAATACACATGCAAAAGGCACTGCTTATTTCTAAAAGAAATTTCTTCCTGCAGACCAAAATACAGGACACAATAATTAAAATAACGGGTGTATGTGCACAACAAAACAAAATTATGTAATAAAATAATAATAAAAACAGACAATAGCAAAATTACTACAGATTATATAAATACTTTTTGGCTTAGAAAATTGCTCTTTATTGTTGTTCTTAAGAGGCTATACAACCTCAAATGGCTTTGATTGGTTCCCCATAATAGTAAAATTGGGGATTATACACTACGGTGTCTAAACACGATTCCTAAAAATTTTCATTATATAAAAAAGAAACACAAACTTACCTCGAAATTTTACAAGAAAACCGCTGTATTCAATAGGAACTTCACATGTACCAATGATTTTTTTAATATCAACTGAACTAAATAGAACATGTACAGTATACAATAAACATTTTTCAAATTTCCCTGCCGCTGGACCCAATATACATTTTTTCCTTTTTTAATTTTGAATTCATGACCACCAATTGTGACTTGGGCAGTGATTGACCATAAGGGAATGGGGTGTTGACCATCATTGCACCTTGACCTCTAATGCAGCGATAACATTTTTTACCTACAATATCATGTGATATTTATTATGTTAAAATAATTACCATTTTTATTTTCCAGGACAAAGTTGTGAATCCAAACCCGTAACTGCCAAATGACGTGTAGAAGTTTTAGTGTTACTGTATACATATTTATAACTTTATTATAATTAATAATTGTACTAAGTAATTGCTTATCGATATCAACACGTATACGTCCCTATACTGGGCACGGGATTCACTGTTAAGACTATAGACTCATATAAGGGACGTCTCGGAATGGTACAGTGGG